GTAGTTTAAACAAAACATTAATGTGGCTTTAACAGGTACAAATGAAATATACTGAGTATATTAAAAGCCTAAAATGAACATAAAAAGTCATGTTGGTTAAACATAGGGTAAATGAATATACCTAATATTAAAGGAAATATTCACATTAACATAACAATTTCATGTTTCTTTGACATAACATAGTTGTGTGTCTTATAATGGAATAGTTTTGAGTACACATGTTTTTAATATGTGCAACCAATGTCCATGTTAAAATCATGTGAATCCAACAGCCTTTTTTTTCAGTGCATGACCATTCCTCTTGGGTGAGATGGTTTGTCTTAGGTCCCAATGTCCTTACAGCTCTTTTGTCCGCATCCACAAGGTCCATATTCCCAAAGGCCTGATGTGACCACTTCAACGCTGTGTTTCAATGAGAATCTTTCTCCTGGGACACATAAACGAACAAGAAAATGCTTTAGAATATGGTTTACATGTTTAATTAATTGAGCCGTTTGACATATTAATGAAAAGTGTGGACTTGCTTATAAAACATGGCAGTTGAATGGGGAAAACAAACACACAAAGCAAATACTATTTCATGTGATGCTTCAACTCAACTTTAAAAGTATTCTTTTTAAATGTTTTACATATTAACACTCGAAGCCATTAAAGTTAAGGAATATAATGTTTAAAATATGTATTGTGATATGAAGCATCCCATGTGACAGCTTCCCTTGGGTGTTATTAGACAACATGCTTCATTAGCAAACAACAAGGAATCTTATTATCAACAAGAGGTTTACTAATTATCCAGGGGTTAATTACAATGTGAGACAGTTAATAACACATCATTTTATTATATCTCAAAGGGGCTCATTAATGTATTTGTTTTGCCTAAAGTAATAGGGCATCCAGCTGATGTAACTCTGGATATTTGTATTGTATCACATTATATGCTACAGTAGCGCTTTGCCTGAGAAGCTTAATAAAATAAAAGTTGGAATAAATATGTTTTATTTGTGTTGATATCAATACTCTATAAAAAAATTTAAATCAATAGAAACTAAAAAAAGACTTCAGATATATTAGCAGCAGGTTTTTTTAACTAAAGCAGTTGGCCAAAATGTTTTTTTTCTTTTATTCGGCTGAACCAGGGTCTGCCAGCCCAAAATCTAGATAACAAAACTGGGCACATACACACTGTAGATGTAACAGGGTAAAGTGACAGTGAAAATTATTTGCTTTACTGTCCTGCAGCAAAGAGACTGTGATACTATGAGTCATTTTTGTAATTGAGAAAAGTAGGTACAGTTGTTATGTCATTTAAAAGACAAGTAACATTTTGGGCCAATAATAGACTAACATTTTGGTACGATGATCCCTAACCTCCCTATAAGGACAGTGTCAGGGAATGATTTCCCCTGCATGTCATCTTTCGCCCTCTGAGGCAGATGCCCAGCCTTGGGCAGCCAATATCTCCCTTAAGGAGGGGCTGCCCAAGCATTTTGTTGTTGTTACCGGTTTATGACAACAAGGCAACTTAGGTCAGAGATAGTCATTGTTATGGGACATCTAGAACACATCCTTCTCGAGGTGTAGATGACCCCGAGCCATAAGCGACAACAAATGTGATTCAGTGTCCCTCAGCTGTTTAGTCTATCTATTGAAGAATGTTGATTATTACACTCTGAACTAGTTAAAACCTCAAACTACAGAAGGTTGCTTCAGAATTGATTTGGCATCTCAACCGTGTGGTCAGATCGTGGCCCGTGACATGTCTCGTGAATTCTCCGGCCGAAGCTCCAAATAAACCGTAAGTGTTTGTCATCAAAGCTCCAGCTCACCTCGTGTCTCTCTGAGTCCTGACTCCAAGTGCTTCAGAAGTTTCCCCCACAGACAGAATATTAGTTGCTGTGACTGTTAAGTAAGAAGTGGGGTCATATGCATCAACACAATCAGACTTATTTGCAATCAGTGGAGTTATAAGAGTTGTTTTTATATTATTATTATTATTATTATTATTATTATTAAGAATATTTTAGTACATTTGCATGTTTTAGGAACTTCCTAATAGCCTTCACTGTTCACCTGGAGTTTGCAGGGTTGCTTCATAAACAGTAATCCACATATTATTCATCTATGCAAAGCTAATGACAATCCCAAAAGCAAAATGTGACGTCAACAAGTTATGGTGCAGTAGCATGACTTAAAAAAGGATGGGCAGGGCAGTTGTCATCCCTTCATGCAACTCTTCTAAGAGAGTGACATGTTGTCTTACATCTGAGTGCTTTAGTTTAATTTCATAACAGTTTTTGTTTTAATAATACTAGTGAAGATTAAATGGAGAACACTTCTTTTTTGTTCAGCTCTGCACTAACCCTCGACCCATTTGTTATTCCACCTGGAGGAAGATATCCCATCTTTTTTCTCGGTATTGCAATTTATTTGTTTATAATTTTTTGCAACCTGACCTTGATGACACTGATCATTTTCAAGAAGAATCTTCACAAGCCCATGTATTTTATCCTGTTCAGTCTTCCTCTCAATGATCTGATAGGCATAACTGCCATGCTACCAAAAGTACTTTCAGACATTGTTACTGAGACAAATAAGGTTTACTACCCTCTCTGTGTTTTACAAGCATTCTTACTCCACATGTATGGTGGTGGAATTCTGTTTATTCTTGCAGCAATGTCTTTTGATCGTTATGCTGCCATCTGCATGCCGTTACGCTACAGTTCTTTTATGACCCCCAGAGTGGTGACATGTATTATCTCTCTAGTTTGGGGTCTTGACTTTGTCTTGATTGTGTCATTGTTCTCTTTACAGACAAGGCTTCCCAGGTGCAAATCTGTGATTATGAATGTGTTCTGTGATAACCCATCTCTACTGAAGCTCACATGTGGAAACACGACACTCAATAATATCATAGGATTGTTTAACACAGCTGTCATGCAAGCTGTATCTGTGTCTATTCAAGCCTTTTCCTATGTGAAGATTCTGATTGCATGTGTGTTTACGAGGAGGTCTGAGGAAAAGACCAAAGCTGTCAACACTTGTGTTGCACAGTTGCTTATATTGATTATATTTGAGATTGTAGGGACATTCACAATTTTATCTTATAGGTTCAAAAATGTCTCAGGTGACTTACAAAAGATAATGGGCATGCTAATATTTCTTGTACCTCCACTTTTGAATCCAATTGTTTATGGGCTGTATACAAGTGAAATACGAAACACTCTTCTGCAAGTTATGAAAAAGAAAAATAGACTATTTACCTGAATCTTTACACAAGGTGCTTTATTTTTTGTTTTTCAAACCTTTTTATTTTCAGAGGAGCTACACTGAGAGAACCACACAGATAAACATCCACACAAGGAAGCTGCTCAGTGTATCCACTCTGATCTGCTGCTCACTGAGTAGCTCGGGTCATGGGTCACACTCATAGGCACCTGAGTGATGGTAATGAGGATATTTGTCTTTTAAATTACAAAAACATTCACAATACTGTGTTTTTCTGGTAGTCTCTCAGTTGGGGTAAACAACATTCATCAGTGGATGAACTTGAACACAAACTGAAATCACTTTCAACAGTTGTGTTGGTTGCGGACATAGAAATGCTTTTGTTTTGTAGTACAAGAAGTTTAAATCTGGATCGGAAGTTTATTAACTTGTCAAATTGTTCCTCAATACAAAACAACAATTGTTTTGTGCAGGAGGGGAAGATATTTAGTTTAATCAATCTGTGATGGGGCCTCGCATTAAAAAGACAAGATGAAACTGATGTATCTTTTCCTACTGCAATCATATAAATAATATGTCACTTGTTAAAGGTCTGGAAAAAAAAAAATGTATTGTGATCTTTCCCGATGTGTTTCTATTGGTGTGAACAGCACTTTGTTCTGTGTAATTACAACGCTGTGTGGTTCAAAAAAGGGATACTAGTCTTAAATTACACACAGTCTGACACTCAATACTTAATTTGGCATACATTACAATTTTATTTAAAGTATTTTGTAAAAATGTATGAGATTTTGCCTGCTCTTTGCTTGCTTTTATATTCCTCACATTTGATTGCTGTTTAAATTATGTTAGCTGTATCAAGATGGTTACATTTCTGTTTACTCATGCACTCCTAATGTTAGAGCCATTTTCATTTAGTTATTATTGTCTGAATGTTAGGCTTAATAATAATATAAAGTAGATTGAACTCTTAATTAATCAGGTATTTTTGTGAGTCACACTATGGTTTAAAATGTATTCATTTAAGGCTCACTTATTATTTGTTATATGTGCGTCAGTATCATGTGCGTCAGTATCATGTGCATGGCTATATGCCCTATATATGGTAGGTTGATAGGACACAGCTGAGGTTGATGAGACGGGGAAACGAAACATGCAGATGTGTTGATGTTAAATGTGTGACCCATTAAATCCAAATATTCTGAAACATTCTGTATTTCATTTTGTTACAAACATTTAATTCATTTTCATAGTAGCCTATTTTGACTGAAGTTAGATGAGAACCCAATACATAGTCAGGTTTTTTTTATATGCAAATTGAGAGGTTAAGGGAAAAAAGAAGAAAACAGAAAAGGATGCAGATAAGGGTGCCTAGAGCAATTCTACCACCGATTATGACGTTTAGTTGTGGTTGTGTTTATTCAATAGAAGTAGTACCGTATATATAAGGTTTTACTCACTATGCCAGTCCAAACTACTTTTTGCATCTGGAAGAATCACAATTGTTGCATGATTTATCATTCTGTTGTGTAATACATCTTACAGTAAAGTAAAGTAAGGCTCTGCTACAGGTAATTCAAGAAATGTGTCTATTGTAACACTGAATCGAGAAACATCTAAAAGATTCTATATTATAAATCATTTTGTAATGTTTTTCATATCTGAATTCTTAACTCCTTCTTCTAAGCGCTCCAAAACATTAGAATCTTGTACCCTCAAAAAAAGACAACATCATACTGAGTATCAAAGAAGTCCCTCATTACTGTATGACCGTCTTAAATCATAAATCATAGCATCAACCTTTTTGTTCCCCTTCAAGTTAAGTAAAGCAGATTATTACAAAACTAAGAATCAGCTAAATAGTTTGAACTGGGGAAATTCAGTGCCATTAAACCAAATCAGATATATCAATTAAAATGTAAAAAAAAAAGAATACAGTTCGTACCAGTGGTAATACGTTTATAAAGATATAATAGGCCAATGAAGTGTATGGAAAGGCAAAATCACCTAACACAATATGCTTTCACTGTGTTTAAAGGACTCAAGTGAGGACCCCGGATCATCTTGGAATAACTTTATATTGATGTGAACATTGTGTATGTACCGAAAAACCCACAATAAATAGTTACAAAATTAATTTTTCCCGTATTACTATTACTATTATTATTTGATGTTGAATTTTGCTTGGATAGCAGGCCTTGAATGTTTCTGGTTCTCAGGTCTCAATAGGTTAAACCTGATCTAATAAAAAGCGGGCTACATGAAATGAAATAATAAAGTCAAAAATAACTAGTGTGATGTCATATCTGATTGTGTATGGGCTCAAAAAGTGACAAAACAAACCAACTGGAAAATATATAGAAAGGTAGCAGTTTAAACATTTAATTGTGTTAGATTCAGCATCCATCAAGTGTATTGTACTCTAATATTACTTTCACAAGTGATCTCTTGTGCTGTTTTTTATAACATTATAAACATCTGATGCAAGCTGCCACCTATCTGACCTGAAACTATATCTTTTATTTTTAGGTTTTTGTGCAAAAACGCGTTAAAATATAAGTGTAATATTATGGATACATTTATTTTTAAATAAAGGCAATGGGAGAGGAGGTTAAAGAAGTGACACAGTAAATAATGTTACAGAGATAAGTATTCTATTTAAAGTTTTTGTTCTTTTTAATATGAATTAATGATTAATATTCTGCACAAAAGGCTATTTTATAACTACAATAACTGATAAATGTTTTTCTCATGATGTCAGTTTGGTCACTTCAATTACACACACCGTCATATTATGCTCTCTGACCTCAAGGGTGTAGCATACAGTACAAGTCAATAAAAGAAAGAATATCATTCCTTTCCCTCCCCAACAAAGTGCAGTCGAGGGCAAGATAACAAGCTGTAACAGGTATGACACCAGATGTACATTTGTAACCATGTATAGCACTAAATTCGAAATTGTTTGTTTTGATAAAACATTTATTTCAGGGGAAGATCCTTCATCGGCTGGCTTGGTTATTGAGAGAGACATTTTGTTCCATGTGCGAGGCGAGGACATAACAAAGACAGAATAATGATGTATACAAATACATCTTCTAGGGAATTACTAATGCTAGTACCATTAGGGTTATCTACCACACACATCTATCCAGCGTTTGTATTTGGCACTCTTACCTATCTTATTATTGTTTTTTGTAACTTGTTGGTATTAACAACTATTGCTGTGAGTAAAAAGCTGCACAAGCCCATGTTCATCCTGCTGATTAACTTACCCATTAGTGACATTGTGGGTGCCACAGCTTTGTTTCCTCAGCTTCTTTTCAGCATGGTGACACAGAACAGACAGATCTCGCACCCTGCTTGTGTTATTCAGGCATTGCTGATTCATATTTATGGCACAGGAAACTTGTTGATCTTGAGTGCCATGGCATATGACAGATATATTGCTATATGTTGTCCTTTGAGGTATAATGCAATAATGACCCCACACAACTTAGTTAGAATAATTACTTTGATATGGTTCCTTAATATTTCGCTCATAGTCACGTTGATTATTCTGGTTGCCCGGATGCAAGTTTGCAGGACGGACATAGTGGATTTGTACTGTAATAATCCATCATTAACTAAACTGGTCTGTGAGGACACCATGCTGAACAACTATTATGGACTGGCAACTATAGTTGTGCTTATGGGCGGACCACTGTTAGTGATAGCATACACATACGCACAGATCTTGCGCACATGTGTCATGAATAATAATAACATGGATGCTCGGAGAAAAGCCATTCAAACATGTGGTACACATTTAGTTGTTTTCCTAATCTTACAGATTAATACTACCTTTACACTCATTGCTCATCGCATTGAAGGTGCATCCCCAAGCATTAGAAGAGTTCTTGGTATATCCGTTTTAATATTTCCTCCTTTATTGGACCCAATTATATATGGACTGAAAATAACAGAACTCAAGGAGAACATGCTAATGTTCCTGAGAAGAAATGTTTTTTCAACCAAGTTTTAACCAGATTGTGTATATTCTGCACAAGGGGAATTATTCTCATTGAACAGTCGCACATTTTTCTATACACCACCTAAATGAATACTGATTTCAGAATCCACTTCAAATTAAGCCTAAGAGAGTTTCACTTAACAATATGCCATGTTTTACTGTACTGTGCATAAGCCACACACATCTTTGTGTTTGATGAATACCCTGTATATTTCTCTATACTGTATATGTGTAAGCTTGTCCTTATTAGCACAAGTACAAATCAATAGGTCTTTTGTCATTCTAAGGTCCACACTGTACTTACTAAAATGTGAAGAAAAGGACAAAACAATGTACTTTGTGCACATGTACTAAATCATATATGAAAGGATATAATGGAGTGAATTGATGTCTAAATCAATGCATTTTTGAACATTAGAAACACTAAGATTATCTGATGCAAATATTTGACCACCATTTTTGGTTTTCACTCTTCTGTCCATGTTTTGCAAATTTGAGTATAAACAACTATTGCTGAGAGTAAAAAGCTAACTGCAGAGAAACCGAGCTGCTAACTCTCTCACCTTTGACTACTACTTATGCCATGTTTCCAAATTGTTTTATTTACAAAGATTATTTTAAATGTAATTGTGTTATAATGATTTCAGATATAATACATTCAAAAGATTTTGACGAGCACACAAATCTTGGCAATTTGCAGTTTTATCGATGTATTTGTTGTCATCCTAAGGTTGACACTGCACATACAAATAACAGCAACATAGACTGTGCACAATGTACTGAATCACATATTCTTGAAAATGATTAAAATAAAAGTTACGGTTACAAAGACGGAAGTTTCTCATTGCTGGGCTGCACTTGCAACTGACTATACATGGAGTGAAAATATATTGAAATGCATAAATAAATATTTTCCTCTATTTGTGAAAGTTTTGCGTGACATTTATTTAGTACTAAATGTGTATATCATGTGCTATCTCAAGACTGACTCAATAACACCTGTGCGATTTAGACTGTGAGATGAACTACTAATAAGAAGAATAAAACTGTAAGGGAAACTTCTGTGTAGCAATGCAGTGGGAGTCACCGACTCATGAAGGAGACACGGGAAGAGCAGGAGCTTTGATGTCAAACACTGATGGTTTATTATAGGAGCTTCGGCCGGAGAATTCACATCACAAGTCCAAGAGCCAGAGGTTTTGACTTCACGGTAGAGTTGCCACGTCAAATCTGAAGAACTCTACCCCAGACCCATGTATTTAGCTAGTTCAGAGAGAATAATCAACATGCTGCATAACAAGATAGAATCATAACACCTCTATCAGCTGACGCCAACAGGCAGGAACAGGGAGACAGAACACTGAGAGCACAGCAGCCAAGGTTACAGGTGCGTGTGCTCAGTCAGGACAGTTTGAACTGATAAACTGGGTCAAAGTTATGGACCTTGGAAAATATTTCCCCAACAAAAACAATATTTTTTTCTATATGAAACCCCTGTGTTTTTGCAATATAAAAATAATGTCCTGCCAAATGTCATTGTGTTAAATATGATGATAGTTTTTTAAAATAGATTCAGATCTGCAAATGTTAGCACACATAGCAAATTAATCACAAGTTAATGTAATGAATAAATACACGATGTACCTCAATGAGCTACTCTGTTATTTGAAATCCTCTTTTGTGTTCTGCAGTCTTAGAGTCTTTTTTTTTAGATTAATTCTTCAGGAAATAGAACAAAAATCACATCACTGAATATTATGATATTGATTGTGCATTGTTGCACTTATCATCAGTCATCCAGGACTAGATATCCAAAAGAGTTATATATATACATTTCTTTAGACATTTTAAATCTATCCTCATTTTTGGCAGATTCAAGACACATAAATATATGAAAAATAATGTAATGTGTGCAAAAATACAAAACAAATTTTTAATATGAAATCCCTGTGTTTTTGCAATATAAAAAAATATGTTTGTTTTAAAATACACTGTAAGAAACGTACCGTGAAATTCACAGTATTTAACTGGCAACACTTGACAAGATACTTACTGTAATTCATTTTACAGTATTTAACTGGCAGCAATTGACAAGTTACTTACTGTAATTCATTTTACAATTGCTGCGAGTTAAATACTGTCAAATGAATTACAGTAAGTAACTTGTCAAGTGTTGCCAGTTACTTACTGTAAAATGAATTACAGTAAGTAACTTGTCAATTGCTGCCAGTTAAATACTGTAGAATGAATTACAGTAAGTAACTAGTCAATTGCTGCCAGTTAAATACTGTAAAGGAAATCACAGTATTTACAAGTTTTTATTTAAAGTAACAGTGTAAAATGAAACACGTAACTTCCAAGTACTGTATTTGTGTTTACGGTAATAGTGTTTTAACTGTAAAATGAAACACAGTAATATTTAATTACTTTATTTTTTGTTACAGCAGTAGTGTTATAGCTGTAGAATAAAACAGTAATTTCGAAGCATTGTATTTTTGTTTAAGCTAATAGTATTTTAACTATAAAATAAAACAGTCATTTAAAAAGTACTGTATTTTTGTTTACGGTAATAGTGTTTCAATTGTAAAATAGAAAGACTAAATCAATGCTATAATGTTAAGTTACAGTATCAGTATCGAAACTAACATTTATTATAGTATACTTCATGTCATGCTGGTAATTTACAGATTACCAGAAATTCTTGACAAAATGTTAAAGCTCACCAATAACTGCAGGGAGACAGCAAACAATACATTTTAACAATGTGTTCTTAATTGTTGAACGGTATCAAGACCATGTATTTTCTTGTGCTAAATGATAAATATTTTCATCCATAAAACAATCGATATTAATAT